TTCATTAACAACATATCACACTTGACCTCATCTCAAATAAACTACGATAATAACCAGTTATGCCCAGAAAGCCCCTAGTCTCTGTAACCGACTTCGGAGCCTCTCAATGTAAAAGTACACTTAGTTTGGATGGATCCACAAATACCATCACCCAAAATAGCATGCTTAAGAAAACTCACCTCCTCAAACCATAATCTACACCTTGACAACTTAGCATAAGGTTCCTCCCTTTCGACACTGTAATTCAAATCTCAATGTTTAACATGCTTATATTTTGACTTAGATTAAATCAAAATCTCCTTAATAAAAACCACAACAAACCGATCCAAATATTCGTAATCCCTACACCGGGTTCTAAAAGTTGTCCTCCAACTATCCTCACCTTTCACCTGAATCTAAAGATAATATGACCTCAATTCGTTTATACTGAAGGCATGCTCGTCGACCAGTTGGTCCATCAAATCGTCAATCCTTTTAAGTGGATTTTTAATCTCTATCATTACCTTAATCAATTTTAGGTAATCCACACTGAACCTCATACAACCGTTATTACATACATACAAAGCTAAGCCTCATCTCCTCAGAGTTATCCTACTTGCTTAGCAGATATCCTCGGGAAAACATTAGAAATTACACACCACTTGTATATCACTAGCTGTCACATTTTCCCTCTATCCCCTGAGAAGAAACCTTCAACAATACCTGATCGTTCTCCTTCAGAGACATCCCCACGTGACCAACAAACAGGAACCTTGGATTCGTATTATCTTCAGGCATGAGAATCTGCATCGACTTTTCAAAACAATTTGTAATCACTTGGTTTAACTCCAAACAGTTCACCCCAAGGATAACATCAAGTTAATCCAACATCTCTCTCTAATGAAAATTCGGGAAATTATCCCCGAAAAAAATCAAGACTCACACACAACTAGCATATCATTAGCCATAACATCGCCCTCTACTCCTAGAGACGCGAATCTTGAATCTGCATTCCCTTCAGAATCGAGAAATAACAGTCTCACCAACATTTGCACTCTTGAAATCCATGGAACACTTAACCAGTTGTTCACACCTTGCAACCAAAACATCTCTGAGAAGCAACAACTTCTCCTCCACTTGTTTCAATCTCTCTCCTGCAAACAAGTGATTAGAAAAACAAGAAGCACCAACACTGTTTCACACACATGACATGTACTAAGGAATAACACATCGACAATATTCAACTGTCACACCACACCGACTCAACAACTTGGTCAAACGGATTGACCTGCTCTGATACCACTAATGTAACACCCAAATTCCCCTCGAAGAATAATAATTAAAATCAGAGTAATTTTTAAAACATGATTAACATACAATTAGGATGCCACATTTCCAAAAATATACACACTTAACCTGCTCATGATATATATATATATATATATATATATATATATATATATATATATATATATATATATATATATATATATATATGTATATATATATATATATATGTGTGTGTGTGTGTGTGTGTGTGTGTGTGTGTGTGTGTGTGTGTGTGTGTGTGTGTGTGTGTGTGTGTGTGTGTGTGTGTGTGTGTGTGTGTGTGTGTGTGTGTGTGTGTGTGTGTGTGTGTGTGTGTGTGTGTGTGTGTGTGTGTGTGTGTGTGTGTGTGTGTGTGTGTGTAACACAATTATGGATGAATCAAAAACAACCCATCATGGTGTTAAACTTCAATTTTATTAAGCGGTAGAAAAGAATCGTACTTAGAATTTAAATCAAACTCATCCAATAATAGTTCAACATTTATTCAAATACTAAGGAGCTCGTAAGACTCCAAAAAATTAATTTAAAATCAACAAAATTCTAAGGAGCTCATCAGGAATGTGACTTACTAAGAGAAAGCGAAAGATAGAAACAGAATCAATAAGCTTGTACTCAATCTTTAGATACCTCAGCTAGTAATGTTTAAGCCAAATAATTCCATTGTTTATCAATTTTTTTCTTTGAGTGTATTCATGCTTTACTGTTTTATCATGTTTGATCTATTTCTGATTTAATTTGTCTAGTTTGATTTACACACATTAAGGTAGATTCTTGCTTACACTCTGAGTCTTTTAGGCCAACCCGCATAATATTAAATATACTTTGCTAACCACTTTGACCTTAAACATTTAGTTTCTGTGAAATAACCATAATTGTTATCCAATTGACTTGAAAGATAAATTATTTCCACTCTCTCTTTGGAGTTAGGTAAAAATTATTTAAGTTTTCCTGTCATAGGCAAAAGAACAAGTTTGGGGTTGCTCTTGGAAGTGAGAAAATTTTAAGTTTTGGGTTTGGGTACTAGAGATAATGGTAAAAAAATTTCAAAAATACTGAGAAAAAATCAAGAAGTTAAAACAACTTCTTAAAAAAAGAATGAAAAATACCTAGACCACAAAAATACATAAATCTCTAGTACCAGTTAGAAGGAAAAAAGTTGGTAAGATAATGATAGAAGAACTAGGAACCTAACTCCAAAGATTTAAACCTACTTTCCAAAAACATCCTACATGAACCTAAGCCACGTTATATCTATAAAATTCCTCAAAGTGTGTGTCTTTTGATTACTGTGACGAATTTTGTTAGAACATGATCAAACTCAGTATAAGCAGTTTTGTATGTTGATTGAGAGATCACCCTGTCAATTGAGTGTATTACAGTTAGATGAAAAACAGGTTTATTACTTGCTAAAAGTTGAAGAGATTTCCTGATTTTTCTAGATTATAGTTAGAAGCTAGAATGGTGATCAGGTAAAAATGATTATGGTGATGTTCAATTGTTGATGATGTATTTTGTGTTTCTGTTTGTAATTTTCAGTTGTAAGCGAGTTACTTGAGGACAAGAAACAAATTAAGTTTGGGGTTTTGATGGCCCTCTGTAAATGCATATATTTTGTAGAAGAAACGGAGAAAAACGAGCCAAAGATCACTTAGTTTGATGAAGAATAGCCAAAGAACGGAGCAAAACGGGTAAAGTATGAAGAAATAGAGACTTTGGGGAAATTTGGATGAAAAATGACCAAACGCGTATCAGCCACTAGAAAAATAACACAACCATCACGCGCCATCACGTGGGCTATGGGCTTAGATAAGTTGTATATGGTGCGCGATGCAGGTTATCGTGCGTACTATGGGCCCTTTTCTGGGCACTTTCTGACGCATTCTGACACTCCATGAATGCTTTAAAAATGGTTCTTGGCAGTGTTTCAGGGGTTCTGAGATTTTACACTGTAAGTAACTATTTATAACATTGGAAGGCATATTTAGAGCGCATTTGGAGTCATTTTAGATCATTTCTTCAAGGGAACTTTTATGCAAATCACATATAATTTATTGGTATTGTAGTTTGAATTATGAGTAGCTAATTTTCTCATAGGTTAGATTTTATTTTGATGAACCTTTTTCAATATTGTTGGAACATATGTTTGATTTGATATTGTATAATTTATTAAAACTATTATTTTATTCAATTGCACCTTGTTCATAATGATTTTTATGTGAGATACTTTTTTAATCTAACTTTGGGTGCATAAGAAATACTGAATATTAGCCTATGCGTTGGACCTAGAATAATTGTTGTGTTTACGCTGATTGAATAGGAATAGGAGACCTCGAGTAGTGGCTTAAGGATTAACGTTCTATTACATCCTCTAATTTTGCTTACACCTGTGGACTAGGGATAGAAAGCTCTGAGTATAAATTAGTGAATTATACACCAAGGGATTAGGTATAGCGGTCTTGTTAATTCGTTGTGAAATTATAGCAACAATATTAATTATGCAATACCTCAAACATCAACAGTAAAGAATTTAGGTATTCTATAACAAAACCTTATCACTTTCGTATCATTGTCAGAAGACACTTTTATTTTTTTTTGCATTAAAACTCTTAACCACCCCCCCCCCCCCATCCAATTTACTATTTTATAAACATTGCACGATTTTTATCTTTTTAAATAGCAGTCTCTGGATTAGATCTTTTTATTACTTCGACATTATCAGTACACTTGTCGAGAAGTCATCACCACGTGAGACACAAAGACAAACCATTATCTCGATTTGTCGTACCTGGCTTAAGGGATACTATTTTGGGCCAGTCACAAAACATGTTAATCGTGATTCAGCCTAATATAGAGTTTTATACAACTTTAATATATGAAGAGTTTATTGGTCGTCAGATCAAATAGTCGCCAAATATTGATGTTGTCATTGAGACTTCAAGCCGAAGACATCGTCTTTTTAGTTGTAATACACATGAATGTTCTAGGATTGCATAACTTGTGATGGAATTGTCGTAGATTGACATTTGATCATGAAAAAATATTGAAATATGAGCGTCACATCGCGTCACAAATGATCTTCTGATATTTTTCCCTCTTTTGGACAGTTGTTAGACATAGAAGATTCTAGGTTCTTGAAATTCTAAAACCTCGCTATAAAAGGTCAATCAAAATGTTACATAAATGTAGACACTTTTTAAGCTTAAAATACCTCTTTTTTACTATCACTGACTTGAGTGTCAGAGTATTTTCAAGTTTTTCTAATATTTGCAAGTACTCTTACGTAGAACCATAACACCGAGACATCATTCACTTAGGAGAGTTTACCATTAGATCTAAGTTCACTATCTCGTTTATGAACAAACATCTTAGATCTTTGCAAAATCAGGACATATCATAAGATGTTTCATGTTTTTATAAAATATTTATATATTACTCCCTCCATTCCATAATGAGTGACCCAGTCATTAGACGGAGGAATTAGTAGATAATTAAAAAAAAAATTCAATTCACACAAATACTTAGTATATTAACAAATACTAATAACTAGAACATCCCATTAATTGTAAAATAAAAGATCTTTTCAAGTTCAAATTACATAAAAACTAGCAGCAACAAACTAAAGATACTTGATCCACACACATGCATAAACACTTCAAAACATGAAAACTTCAATTGCTTGAATGTCTTCAAGTTCATGTTGGTGCTTTGAGAGTGATAGAAGGAAAATCCATCACCACAATCTTCTCAAGAGCAGGTGAAAATATCTTGGAGAACTCAACATGATTTGGGTGAACTTGAAATGCATTCAAAGCTTCTTTCTCATTGAATGTCATCAAAAAGGCATGAGTAAAACCTTGTGTCAACATGTCATGGCCTTCAGTGTCTTTTCCCCTTTATAACAAATACAAACATAACAACATGTTAAATAAGGACAATTACATATAATAGAAAAAATGAGTCGTCCTTCTAAACTACGAAATCAGATTAGTCTTTTAACTATATGAATCAGAATTGATTGGTTAAATAAAATAAATAAAAAATCGTGGTCTTACCATTCGAAGGACTTGACATGGTCAATCCCAGAAACCATCTTCTCCATCTCTTGGATGAGTTCTTCAACTTTCACACCATCCTTGAACTTAACAATTACATAATGATTGTAAGTCCCCATGACTCTAATAAAACTTTTTTATGAACCAAAACCAGTTCCTAGTAACCAAATATATAAGTAAAAAAACTGCAATCTAAACATTTAACAATTTTTCTGTCAACTCTCACAGTCACAATCTGACAACAATGTCAGATCCTTATGACTAATTTTACCCTTTTTTTGGTGGGAATTAATTACTGAATAAGTTCTAGGAGACAACATTCACAGCTTAATATTAGGAAAGATACCATTACTTTTTATATATAGACCCACCATTTTGAAATTTTGTTCTCCATGTTTTACACTATAATTTGTCTGTTGCTATTGTCGTTGCACGTGAATGTAATCAATGAATCAAGACCTTTGTTTGAATACAAAAATACTAACCAATACTCTAAAGAGATTAATATTTGCAAATAGACAATAATTTAACACTGATTCAATGCTATTATGTACACATGTGTTGGTCGTGTCAAACACCTCTTCATTATAATATATCAACAACGTAAGAATATAACAGGAAATAATATGAAAGAAAATATACGGTAGAAAAGAGCCAAAAATACAAGTGGTATGGGTACCTATTATACAAATATGAATTTTAAGATATAAAAGATATTTAGATATCTATTAATATTACTATTAAAATAATTGTTTTAAATAAAATTATAATTAACTTAAAAAGTTATCTATTATTGAAATAATTTTTTTAAAATAAAAATTATAATTAATTAAAAAATATCCTCTTTGTAAATAAATATAAAAATAATATCAAATCTACCGTATGAAAAAAATTTAGGTTGTGAAAATATCTTTTCTAACATTTACCGTACCCTTATCACTTATGTAAATACGGTACAAATTATGTCTTTTATCATCTTATCATACTCTAAATTTGTCTTAGTCTTACATTAGGTTTAAGTTTCTTTTTTAAAGAAAAATTATTCATATTATGTGGTCTTATTTCTGTGGAGTATTTAAAATCAAGAAAAAGTTTAAAGGATCATGGTCTTTCTCAATCAGAAGAGACCCATGTAATTTGTTAGGGCATTTCAAAAATTAAAAAAAAAAAGGGGGTGTATTGCAAATTCATAAAGTCCATGTGGGATACGTTTTTTTGTTAAAGATCCAATATTTGAAGATAATTTGGCCCACTTGATTTAAAAAGATTTTTTATATAATATTATTATCATCTTGTTATAGTTATTTATTTTACTAATTAAATTATTAAAACCTTTATTAATATTTTTTTTGTATTACCAGCTGAAAGAAAGAAAAGAAGTGTACTGAACATGACAAGATGTATGTTGAAAGCTAAGAATGTGCCTAAGAGCTTTTGGGTCGAAGCAGCTTCGACAATAATATGCAGTCTAATCCGATGCCCAGCAAAGCACTAGGATCGAAGGAAGGATAGTTCGAAAGAAAGCGTGGGGAGGCTTTTATGAAGTCTTCGATTGATGAAGAGCTAGTAAAGAGCTTCGAAAGGTTCGTTTTCGAACTATTGAAATTAAGGTCATTCGAAGAATTACAAGGAAAGACATTTTGATTGCCATGTTGGTTGAATTGGTGCTTCGAAAAGAAGAAGATGTTGAATTCGAAAGCTTTGATCTTATGGTTCGAAGGACATATGAACCTTCAAACATGGCGTGCTCGATGGACAGTTAAGGCCGAATCAGCCAGATATAAGTCATCTTAGAGTTTCTGGATCAATGTTTTTCAGGCATGTACCTGAACAAGTGGGGAAGAAGTTGGATGATCAAAGTGAAGTCTTGGTGCTCATAGGTTGTCATTCGATTGGTGCATACAAGCTCTTGATCCTTAATCGAAGAAGCCATGATGGTGAAGCCTTGAGCAATTCGAATTGGAATTCAGAGCCATCGAAAAGACGAAAGAATCAAGATGTGAAAAGTTGAAACGAACACCTATTGGGATGAAACCTGTCCAGGTTCACTCAAAGTCCAAAATGGTAGAAAATATCTCAAAATGGCAACTTTTTAAATCTTTCAATTTTGCTTTCAAAGCCATGGTTAATGACTGATTCATGCCATTTTCGTTCACCATGACACCCCTATAAATACAAGACCAAATCAAAAGCAGGGGGGACACATAACTTGCTTATCAAAGCTACACACACAAACATTATCTATCAAAACTCCACGAAAAAATCATCAAAATTGTGAAGTTCCAAAATCCATCCCCCAACCTTCCTCCGTCCAAACCAGTGTTGCATTCACATCCTTGAGACTACTAGGAGTTTATTTTAGTCCACATCTGCACCTGGAGTTCCCAGAAGCTAGCCAACTGAATCGCTCCACTTTGGTAAAACTTTCTCTATCGAATCTCTTAATGCATACAGCTTAAATGAATTTGACATATATATATTCTTGTTTATATCGTTATTTCGATTTGTTCTAACGCAATACATGAGAGATTAGATGCAGGATTATGGATTTGTCATGTTTAGGGCACAGGTTGGGTCATGATTTGAACAGGATGACACAGCCACGATCTATCAAATTCAAGGCTAGATTCGACATCAGGCCTAGATTTTTTGTTTTTTTTTCTAACGAATTTCCTGCAGACCCAGTATCCCCAGATCGAAGGAGTGCACCATGCACCATCTTTCCCTTGCTGCAAGATGTTGGTCAATCCAGATCCAGTGCCTTCGACGTGCAGTCCGCCGTGCACTTCCAACAACCTCCCTCATTAGATCAAAAGGCAGCCTGGGCCTCTTTTCGATTCGGACCTACCTTCCTATTGACACCCCTCTATTTTTACTAGTTTAATATAAAATGCCCCCCCCCCCCCCCCCCTCATGTTTTTGTATTTTCTTTTTATTTCAAGTATTTCCTTTCTTATATTTCTCATTTTTAATCTATATATTCATCTATTTACTTTTACATTAATATATTTATATATAGTTATATATGTATATTTCTATCATATTATATTTTTATTCCTTGTTATAAATAATTAGTTATTTTTAAAACTCATTTAAATATAACATTATTTATTTGAATTAAATCATATCTATTAATTATGTACTTCAAAATATTTCTCACTATATAATTTAATTTAATATTTTATATCAAAATATTAGAATCTGTGATTTGTTAAATTACAATATCCGCAAGCGACACGTGGTGAATATCTGGCCACGTGATACAGAGGCTATATCAGACTCCACCACTATACATCTAAAAATATGCAAACAAACGTCAAACTATTTTTATAATAAATTAATTCAAACAATTAATTTTCAAAAAGGAATATAAAGAGATTTTAATTAATTTCGCGCTTAGTTCAAAACCTCTGCTATCCACACATTCGAACTAAGTACGGGGAAAATTAAAATATTCGTGTAATCCATAAATAATACAAACAAAATGCGAACTACGAAATGAGACTCTGATTTCTCATAAGAGGATATGTAGGCATACGATCAAAATTGTTGCGAGTCCCGCTAACTAAAATTCAAACCCTTTCGTGCTAACTAAAATTTAAACCTTTTTCCCAATAATAATTAAAAACCCTATTTCCTAAAAATGCGCTTTTAAACCTAGTATCCTTGTGAACAAGGTAGAGGAAGGGTGCTTAACACCTTCCCCTCATCTAGAACCGAGTCGAAATATAGAATCTCTGAAATTTTTAGGGTTATTCCTTTATACTCTCTTTCTTTAGGATAAAAATTAAGGGCGGCGACTCTGATTTAAAAACCAGTTGCAACAGCTGGAGACTCTACTGGGGACTCAACCCTAGGCTTAGAAGCATTATCTTTCGATTTTAGGGTTTTTATAGTTTTTCTTATTTCTTTTGGGTTTTATTTTTTCTTATTTAATTATTTACTTATTTTCTTGCCTATTCTTTATTATTCATATTACTTATATATTTGTGGTGGGATTTAAAAATTCTGCAATATTATTCTCAAAACCCTTAGAAAGAAGGTTCGTCTATTAGCCAAGGGGTTACATCAACCCTATGAGTTTATATGACGGTTTCGCTTAGAGTTGGTGGAATTCCACAAAAGGAACACCTCTCGAGAGACATCCTCTTAGGAATTAGGACTTTGGAATGATACCTATGACTCTTTGTACGGCCTTTAAACCAAAATCTCGTGATGAGACCTTTCATGACCTAGAGACGAAAGTTTCGGTCTATAAAGAGACTCCATTTAAGGGAGGCCCTGGTGCCTTTCCCTCTAGTGTCATTCACGATACCCTTAAGGAAACCACCTTACGGGGAGGGTAGAATATCCGTAGGCCAGTACTAAGAACCTACCTTCTAAGGATACCTTTCGCAAATCTCACTACAATCTGCAAACCCGCAAGGGTTATCCCTTCATTCACTACTATCTCTAGCCCGTAGGGCTTCCGTCTTTATCATCGTCTCTATCATGTAGGGACTCCTCATTATCTTTCATTTACCATAATCCGCAAGGTATTCTTACTCGTCTCAATCTCTAAGACAGTGTAGGAAATCGTCAAATCTATATTTATTATCATCTTTGTCTGTAAGGAGTCCCTGCCTGTCTCAATTTCTGAGACAGAGTAGGATATCATCATCAAACTTGTATATGGTACCCTTACGTCTACCATCATACTATGTCTACGTCACGTTGCATATCCATGAAACATTTTTGCATACCCAGGCATCTTCATATATTTCCATTTTCATCTGTTTGCACAAAGTTCATATCATTTACACTTCCACCCTTATCCAACTGTGACAGCTAATAAGATTCCTAATACTTACAAGCGTACGCAAAGCATGTCTCAAGAAGCCATGGAGGAACTCAAAAGATACCATGAACTGTTGAAGGAGGAGGTTCACCAATTGAAGACTCAAATGAACTTGATCATGCAATTACTACTAAAGAGCGAAAGCAACCCTTCATCACCCTAACCACAGGCCTATTCAACGTTACAGATACCACCACCGTGGGAAGGCCCTCCACCTCAACAGAAACTACAACGAACATTAATAATTTTGCGGGGACAACAATAAGATAAAAGGCCAAAAAG